GTTGTTTCAGGGTTCAATGTGTGAGTTAGAAGACCCTGAATTTGATCAGCCCAGAGGTTGTTTCAGGGTTCAATGTGTGAGTTAGAAGACCCTGACTTTGATCAGCCCAGAGGTTGTTTCAGGGTTCAATCTGTGAGTTAGAAGACCTTGACTTTGATCAGCCCAGAGGTTGTTTCAGGGTTTGATCAGTGAGTTAGGCGTGCCCTGACTTAGATCAGTCCAGAGGTTGTTTCAGGGTTCAATCTGTGAGTTAGCAGTGCCCTTACTTTGGTCAGCCCAGAGGTAGTTTTCAGGGCTCGATTGATGGTTTTAATTAATTAATCTAGTTATGAGACATTTACTCATCAGTTACTGACAAGAAAAGACATATCAATCAATGACTTTTAATCTTACTTTATACAGAAAACGTCAGTAAACGTTCAGTTGATTTTTTCATGTTTTCAGTGTATCATTTAACATTATTTGGATATTATTTACAAGACCAGGATAATACTTTAGCAAATAAATAAAATAAATTAAAGAAACTGAACTGAATCATAGAACAATAACTTAACAATGCATGCTACATTTCATTACTAATGCTCCTTTACAAGATTCTATCTTATTTCTGAGGATATGCGGTACAGCTATTTCAAAAACGTTTGGTGGTTTTGTTGCATGTTGCCGCCAAGCCCAAAACGCACTATGGGCGTTGTTAATACAATCCGCAAAAGCACGCGAAATTTGAAAATTTTAAAACTTTGTCTGTATGGTTTTCCAGTATATATTTTTCTGTACCGCAGTGACATCATTTGTACATCAAATTATTATATAGTTAGGATAGTACGCGCGCGCTAATTGGTCAAAAACAGTGCTTTATTAGTGAACGGAGAACAGTGCTGACGCCATCCGCGCGCGCGAGGTTCTGCTAGATCCTTTGACCGTCTTTCTTTTTGCGTAAATAAATTCAATACCGAAATAAAATTAGTAACTATATAATTAAAAGAATAGAGCAACTTTTTCCGTGCTCCGTTCAGAAATAAAGCACTTAGGAAGCGCCATAAGCACTCAAGAAGTGAGTTACACTTCTCTCCTGCTTTCGTCCACTTCCTGCGTGCTTTATTACTGACCGGAGCACAGAAAAAGCTGTTCCATTAGTGATACACTTCAAGCTTAGTTAACAACATGCATCAAGAGTCATTTTCGACCATCGCCCAAAGCAAAAGTTAAGAATGTTTTTATTTATTTAATTGTTTTTCAGTGTTATTATTGCATAGCCAGAGAAAAAAGGAAATTGCCGGAAAATAGCAGCAACCGGCAACAACAACAACAACCACCACGACAATAACATTATGTTTTTGCCCACATAACATGGCCAAGCAACAAGAAAAACAACAAAACAACAGCAACGACAACCATACCACCACCACCAACAACAACACTGAAAGGAATGGTTAGGACTTTCTCATGCTTGAATTGGTCTCTGCAGCATTTTGAAAATTGCACACTGTGAATGGGGCTATTATCTGGTGACTAAAGGTCAACATAAGTCAAAAGAAAACGGAATAGCAGATATTAGAATTACACTCTATTGCCTTCAGACAATTGTTGCATTTGCGTCAGTTTCTATACATTTCATTGTATTGACCCAAATTCCTCGATTTGAAACAATTGTTTGAAGGCAACAGTGTGTAACTCTAATGTCTGCAATTTGCTTCTACTAGCATTTTATATGCTTAAAGTGCCTATGACACCTAAGTCAATATTTTCAGCATTGATTCTACATGAAGTAAATAGTTGAATGGTAAAATATTCAGTTTCATATGATTCTAATGTATAAAGGAGTGTGTATGGAGGATACACGGCCCCACAAGCTTCTAGCTTTAATGCATACCGTGTATAAATAACAAAAAATATTTTTTATTTATTTTATTTGTTTGGGTGATGCATCTTGGAGATATCAAGGTTTATACTTCCAATTATGTTAATGTATGTGATGTCATAGGAGGCATTATCAAATATACAAATCTTTTCTGGAGCAGTAAAATATCTTGTATAAACCATCATTGTCTTACTCTTACTCTTTATAGAAGGGTTATTGCAAATTTATTTTCTTCATAATAATCAGTGATTTAATCTAAGAATGATGAAAAATATACTCATATGCCTCCTATGGCATCACACACATTAACATACTGGAAGTATAAACCTTGATATCTCCAAGATGAATCACTCAAATCATGTACACATATTTTAACATTCAACTATTTACTTAATGTAGAATCAATGCTGAAGATATTGACTTAGGTGTCATAGGCACTTGAGTATTTTTTGATGGGCCAAATAAAATCGCTTTACGGTAGTATTAAAATAACCTCTGGTCTAACTTTTTTTATGCTATTCATGCGTAAAAAAAGGGTCTGTTGTTTATATACAAGATAAAAAATAGCTTTAGATATACTAAGTATTATTCATTTTTTTGGCAATATTACAGTTCAAGCTTAGATCAAAATAGTTCTAGTCTTAAAATGTGTTTCAATACAACACATTTGCGTCTTCAGTATTTCCATTTTCAAATTCCTTTTAATAATTTACCCCTTATAGCATCTTGACTGGTATTGCTCCTGCCATTTTTATTGCAAAAAAAAGGAGTAGGGTTCAAATACCTTCATCTATACATTGGGCCTTTTCAATATTAGAAGAGAATGGACTAGACTGTTACTGCGGTTTTCTATATTCCGCAAACTCAGACCTTTCAACGGCTTTTTACAAAATTTGTTTTTTAGTGCCGCCAGTCAAGAATACAAAATGTACCGATTGATTACTTTTCATTGACAGCAGCAAAAAAACTAAATTTCAGCCTGCAGTTTGTAACTACCGAGTTCGTAGAATATGGAAACCGCAGTAACAGTCTCTCTTGCCCTTCTATAAACTCAGTTGAATTTCGATTCCTACTGCAAGGAGAGTAGAGTAAAATTAACTGTTTTGTCCTCCAAGTTGTGCAGCCAGCATGTTCCCAATGCAGCCCAAGTTGTAGTACAAAACAATCGCGCTTTAGGGTCTATAATGTCCAAGAACATTTTCATTGGCATATCATGAATGAGTATCAGAATAGCAGTTATAATAAAGCTTTCCCAAATTCGTCGAGTGACCATGAAACAATGGGTCTAAGTCGAGGTCGGTGTGGTGAAATACATAGTAAATGATTGTATGAACACGTTGAGTCCCACCTCAACTTGGAGCCATTGTTTCAAGGTCATTATAAAATAATTGTTATGAATGTCGCGTTCTGATTGGTTTGGAGCGCGTGCTTATGAGAGAACATTGCATGCGCGCGCACTTTCCGTTTGCGTCAATCTATCTAAAATAACGGTTATTGTAATTTGTATTTTGTAAAAGAAATAAAAAAACTTGCCTACTGTGCTGTGTGCAGTTATAAAACACTTGGGGATTGGCAAAACACTCGAGAAGTGTCAAGAAGCTCTCCGCTATGTGCTTGTCATAACACTTCTCTCGTGTTCTGCCAACCCCCACGTGCTTTATGACTGCACACAGCACACGCGCGCGTTTTTTATTTCTTCCCTTAAACGAATTCGGAAATGGTCTATTACCGTATTACTGATATAATATATTATATATATATTTGTGTCCATATCGGCCGGGTTTTTTTTCCATAGGATTTTAGCCAAGTATTAAAACGATAAAACTAATAAAAACCTTGAAGATCCAAGGACATTCCGAGGTCCTTTGTAGAATATGTGATGACATTCATCGCGTCACTTGTTTGCGGGCTTGGTAACCACTTGTTGTCATTGTTGCCATGGTACCCATACGTCAGACAGGTGATGGGGGCACACCACACTAGGCCAGTATCATATACATTCACTCTGTTAATTGGTATAAAAATACAACAGTGTGTTGGAATCTTAATACAAGATTTGAAAACTGTGTTCCTCGAATTAATCACCAGCCCCTGCAAAACGAGATTGTTAGAAAAGTCACGGCTTCACAGGGAAAAAAACCGGATTCCCAAATTGGGAATTTGCTGGGAATTTCCTTGAATTACCAACGAATTCCAATCCAATTCCCAGAGAGAACGAAATTGCACTGATTCCCAATGTTAGTTTGTTGGGAATTTTGTTTTTCTATTGGGTATTAGAAGGAAATTCCCAACAATAAATCCCAACGTTGGTGTTCGAACTGGGAATTCAAGGAAATTCCCAACGATTCCCAATTTGGGAATCCGGTTTTTTACCTGTGCTTGGGACGTATGTTTGAAGTTTAGGAATGTAAGATATCCTTACAACTTACGGCAACCATACCTCTGCTAGTCAGCTTGGCTCTTTTTGATATTCAATACCACTAACAGTGAAAATTGAGTCCTCTGGAACAGAAAAGAATACATGCATGCATTTAGTAAATGTATACCTACTAGATATACGATGGTCAGTAGAGTGCAAACAATATAACCGTGAAACTTAAGCAATACTAAATAGCACAATTTCAAGCTAATTCCATTGTTTTCTATTGTTTAATTAGCACTATTTTGTACTATTTAGTAATTAGTGTTTCACGGATTAATTGTTTGCACTCTACGAGTGACACCATGAATATCCCATGTCTATCTAGAACACACAGGAAAATCGTGTGCCATACATACTAGCTGAACGGTGAACGTGGCACGCGAAGCATGAGTGGACAAAATGACCGGCTCTAAGCATTTTGGGACCTTGAAAGGACGAAGTAAACATAGCGGTAAAGTGAAATTGTTTTCATTCTTCTTTTTAATATTTCTGCTTGTTGTATGGACGTATATTATATATTAAAGAAAAGGAAACAGAAAAGTACGCAAAAGTTTGGTTGGGAAGCCTGAATAAGGGTCGCCGGCCAAACAGCGAAACGCGCTGTAATTGGCTGAAACAAAATTCACTGCTCAGCTGATAATGAAAGTCAAGAAAATGCGTCATTTCTAAGTATGGAAATACGTTGGAATTCACTATCCTTACGACATATTTCCATACCCGATGGAAGTTATCGCCCAAGAGGTTGGAGGACTAGTTTCTAACGTTACTTCAACATATTTCCATGATCTTAAATCACACGATTTTTCAATTGATAGCGAATGAGCAAACTCTTACCTTCGGAAATGGTGTAAACTTCTTTAGGAAAGTCGCTAAAATATGAATTGTGAATCGCGTTTTTTGCTGTTACGCGAAGTTTTGGATCCAACTGAAATAAATGATAAAGAAGTTAAAAATGATTGGATTAAGAGACACTTACAGCGAACGGTATGCTGTGACATTTAAATGGCTTTCCATTCTTTTCGTGCGATCAATCCAATCTTACAGTCAAACCAGCTCATGCGTTCCTATCAAGGTTCAAAGATTTATTTTATTATTGGAAGTTTGATTTCCATCTTGCTATGAGGCTTGAAACGATGAAACGAACATTGCAAATTTGAATTCTGGGCTCGGATTAAAAGTTTATTTAGTTCTTCAAAGATTCGTGCTACCATTTTAAAGTCATTTGCGTGGTTTATTGTTTTGTTCAAAAAGTTATTTCACAAATGAACGTTTTGATGTTTTGAGGCAAAGACCGAGATTGAAATTTACAACGTTTGTTTCATTAATGCAAGTTTCAAACATAGTTAACTATTTTTCAAAGCAAGATGGAAATCAAACTTCCAATAATCAACTGAATCGTTGAACCTGGATAGGAACGCATGAGCCGGATGGTTAGCCTGTATAGCATTCAAAGCATAATCCCACGTCATATTAAATCTACGCCTTACTTGTATCATAAGTGAAGCAAGCTTCTCAGCACCATCTATTCCAAGTAACCTAAATGACAAAAACCAAACTGTCATACCGAGAGTCGGAAATGTGCTCAATAAATTTGGTTTAATATATCATTTACCTTGGTACGACGTAGCCAAGTCGTTGGGGTGGATATTCAAGAAACGTATCTGAAAAATAAAGTATAGAACTGCATAATTAAGCCATCTGGGTCCAAGCAATTCCTGCACTGAATTGTGGGGCTTGATACCTCTACCGTCTTTCGTCACTCATATTAGCCCCATATTTCCATTCCCGATGATTTCTTTGTCAGGACCTTTTGAAAATAGACCTCTTTAGCTTGTGCGTAATGCTAAGTTTAATTTTCTTTTATCTCAAGGATATAATCTTTTTATAGCTTTCAAATTTTATCGATACCCTAGGGAGAAAAATCGGAGAACACGGCCGAGAAAAAAACTTGGAATCAAGAGAGAGACCTAACAAACTCTACTTACATGGGATGCTGAGTCTAGGAATCGAATCCCAGGCCAGGTGAGAGGCGAGAGTACTAATTCTACGCAACGCTACCCTCGTTTATAAAGTAGTCTGTCACTTCACATACGCTCAATTGAAGAATCGTTGTCGGGTTCAGAAACATAGAACATAAAAGCTGAGACCGAAATGGCACGTGGAAAATGACATAAATTTATTATAATTTATTCATTTGCGCCATCCATGCAGTCGGTTTAGAATGCTAAACGCGTATTAAAAACAGTGGATGATCCCACGGGTCGCCGGTCACAGCATGCATCTAATTAACGTACTTCCCATGTGCCATTTCGGTCTCAGCTTCTTTGTTCTATGTTTCTGAACACGAAAACGATTCTTCAATTGAGTGTATACTTACCAATATTATATTCTGCAAGTTTGGTGACGCCAGGCCAAGTTTCGTTAGTCGGTGTACCAAGTACCTTGAGGTAAAGAAGATTAATAAGATGCAAGATGGAGTGACTCGCACCCATAATGCTATTAGCAACGGGAATCAACCCCTTATTTTACGAGCTAGGTAACACTTAATAGCCAGTGCCTAACAAGCCTCTGGCCCTTGAAATTTTAACAGAAGTTTATTTTTACGGGGGGGGGGGGGGGGCCGAAGGACCAGGATAAAAACCCTCAAAGCACAGGAGAAAACCAACAGGTTATAAAAGGATACGATCGGTGACTGGTCTAGGGATACGTTACAGCGAAGGCAAAACCGTTCTAGTACAGAACGTATGACTACCAGTCTTAAGTATCAGCAACGCGACCATACCTTCAGTTCAATAAAAAGCTAGAATAACATTTTTCTTGTACGGAAAGCTTAACCTGTTATACCTGCCATATCTTGTTTAGCTGGTCGATGTGGTCTTTAAGTCCTGGAAACAGAGCTACACCCGTTATCATTTCCACGAAGATACACCCTGCAGCCCTAGAAGGAAACAGCAAGAAAGGGGGAAAAAAACAAAGAAAAGGAGAATAATTAAGAAGGAGACAGCAGTAAATATTCTACAAACACTTTGCATTGAACTCGTTACAATGGTAAAAAGACGCAAAACGTTTATAAAATACTTCAAGGTAAAGGAAACGTTGCCAACTAATTTTCCCGCTTTTTTCAGTTTTTCCTCCAGACGCGTGTACCATTTACCGGAAGTAGATATTTCTCGCCAAAACGTTGCAGGAATTACAACCGGACACAATATAAAATATTAGAAAGAAAAATGATAAAATGATTAGATTTACCATATGTCCAAAGACGTTGTGTAATCTTTCGATCCTAAGAGAACATCAGGCGGACGATACCTGAAGAAAAAAAGTAACCGCAATAATATTATTATAAAGATAACATTCTGATAGGATGGCATTGGAATGGCTCGAACTGGAAGCCATTTGAGGGTAACCTAGCTTCTTAGATAAGAGACCGATCATTTTTTAGCTAGGAAGAGGGGGGGGGGGGTAGAACTTAGGAGGGGGCATCCGAAATCCGAAAAAATCAGATAATTGGAAAGGAGGGCCGTCCAAAAAAAATCAAATAGTTGGGAAAGGTCATCAAAAAGTTATGAGGGGCCACCTTGTTTTCCACCAGCTCCCCCTCCCAGCTAATAAATGATCGGCCCCTAACATTTGCATTATCCTGCTAGCAGAATCAGGAGACTTTACTTTATTCATGATCACACACGGATTGGTAGTAACTAATTATATACTTTAGAAAGTGAAGTATAAATCAATAATCAATCGATGATAGGTATCAATTTATAAAAATAATAGGTAGAGGGATTTAGGTTCGCGTGTGGTGTCCAAAGTAGTTAAAAACTTCTTTAGGTTTCGAAAAAGGAAGAAAAAAGCTGCAAAGTTTGTACGATTTATTTCCTGCGAATGTTTCAAGACCTTCTAATAAGGCTGTGATTTTTCTCAGCGACTCTATCATGGAACGTCAAACACTGCATATTTCTAATTTGATCTGTAGTCCAATCGAATAATTATGCTAAGTCCTATTCCTCCACGTCCATTACTTAAACCTTACCATAGAGTGACGACTTCGTTTGAGTACGTCCGACTTGGCACCGACTTGGCTCGCGCCAGACCTGCCAAGAAACAGTCATATAAATAGGGCTTTTAAATCCGTCATTTAGAACATTTCTCGGTTTATTCTAGTGGGTTTTTGTTTTGCTATAGGTGCGTGGGTACGACGTCCATAAGTGAGAACGTAAACGGCGTTTTCAATAGGATCCACTTTGGAGAGCGTTTTCAAAAGTATGCGTTTACGAATGAAAATAGGGACTTTAAGATTTGCCAAATCTTCGACGGCGACGTCAACCGGAAGTGTGAATAATTTCTCTTTGGGGTTCTGTTCATTGAGGATTTCATTCAAAACATTGTCAGTAAAGTCAACTCATTTACAGGGAAGGCAGATTTTAAAGACTCGAAACCCCAAAGTGAAGTTATTTACACTTCCGGTTGACGTCGCAGATTTTGCAAATCTTAAAGTCCCTAATGTATACGTGTGGACGGGGTATTAGTAAATACATGAATATGTATTGTGAGTAACTAAACTGTACGGTTTCCTGGAATCTAGAGATAACTATCATAATAACCCTTAGCCTTAATCGTTTCCTGTCCTTCATGTGCGTATGTTGATTTTATCTTAATGTAGGATCACCTAAAAATATTTCCTGTTAATCCAAGTTAAGTGCTTCAACTGTAAACCACTTGACTCCGTAATGTTTAGTCAGACAGATTGCTAAGTGTGTCTATATTGAAGAGGAACTCACCGAAGTCTGCTAATTTGAGTTCGCCTTTTTCGCTTATTAGTAAATTTTGAGGTTTGATATCTCTGTTGAGAGAAACAATATGAACAAAATAATTAATCAAGTTTGTAGATTATGGAAACAAAATTTTTGCTTTGCCCACCGAGCAAATGTAGTGCGCACTTTCGGAAAAATACGAAGAAGATGCGAACACTTGTCGATGTTTCCCGAAGAGACCAAATTGATGCTGTCTTCTGTGCCCTTGGAAACAGAAGTTCGTCAATTCAATTTAAAAAGAACAATACCGTGGAAAATTGATGATATAAACTAAGAAGAATTTCCGCAGTATCGACGGTAATTTCTAAATATTGACATTTTTGAAGAGCGCGTCCGCCATTTTCCCGCCGGTTTCCCGAGCATGCGCAGGAACTGTTTTCGTGTTTATTCTACCTGTGAAGAATTTTTCGTTGGTGAATGTACGCCAAGCCTCGTAGTAGTTGAAAGATAAATATCTATAGAGGATTAAATAAATGCAGCATAAATAAATGTGTAAGTTATTTGATTTTCTTTGCGGGGAATATTCCATTAACGCCATTATTTGAACACATTTTTCTTAGACGATTGAGTAAGAAGATTATTAAATAAAATAAAATACAGTGGGGGAAAAACACTCAAAAACAAGGATTAAAATGCGGATTTCCCTGCTTGTGTGATTCAAAAAGTCTAAATAGGCTGATTTTCCGGCCCCCTTTGAACATTCTTACCACGGTAATTCAACTAAGTCGTGGTCAGTTCGAACAAAGCCAGACAAGGGGTAGTAAAATAAAACAGCCTAGACGACTTCCACCAGACTGGGAGACATTTTGACTCACGCGTAAACTCAACGGAAATTTAAAAAAAAAGGAATAAAAAAATTCTAAACAAAATCTTAATTACGTCTTCGTTATAATTCCTTCGAGTTTGGTACCACGGTATTGGTATAAAACAACCACCTCATAGATAAAACATCGGATATCACGGGTGGCCGGTAGAATTTGGCATCGGCATTTGAATAGAGTTTGTAAAGTCCGGCTCTCCCCTTTCTACAGGTTCTCCGGTTTTCCTCACTTCAAACTCGACACACTAAATTCTAATTAGATCTATGACTCAATATACCATGAATTAGATCAGCCCCGCAGAGGATTTTTTAAGGTATGGATAAAATTTGAAGGTTAAATATACAGCTTCTCATTAATCCCATATAGGTAACTGTCCAATTATTTTCTTATTTGAACAGGTCTTGTTGATATGGGGTGAATTAGGCAGCTATATAATTAATAGGTAATGGGATTCCATGCTCCCCAATCAAGAAATAATTAGACTCGAAAAATTCCTCTGACTGCCAAATTGTCAGTCCTCGGAATTTTCCTCGTCCAATTATTTCTTAATTGGACAGCATGGAGTCCTATTACATATACTAATTGAACTAGAGGTAAAAAAAATTATTGGACGAGCAGCGGTGTCACTCGCTGTGACTCGTAGAGTAAATCTCGTCAAAATTCCGTACTGTGACTTTAGCTTGCCATATTTGCTTTGACTTTTTTAAAGTCATACGAGAACGACTTTTTATATCATAAAAATAAGGGTTATACCAGGGTTCGTGCTGAGGTAACCACTTAAAATTCGAGGACTATTCAAGGAGTATACAAGAACCCAAAAATGAATTTTCAAGGAGTATGTTCAGCTAAATATGCCAAGGTTTTACACGGTGGTTGCACATGGCCGACTTTCAGATTGTCCAATCTTTCTGACTAGATCTATTTCAGAACCATGCAAGTAATGATCAAAGCAAAAATTCAAGGAGTTTTCAAGGAGTTTCCCTAAAATCATAAAATTCAAGAGTTTTTCGAGTACCCTTAAAAACGTGAATTAAATTCAAGGAGTTTCAAGAAGTTTAAGGAGTAGCACGAACCCTGTTATACTGACCTTAGCATTGTTCGGGCAAACTCCTCTTGGATACCTCTCCAGGTAGCTATTCAAATCCGTGTCCTGCAAGATGAAAGATTACATCAATATATTGGCGGGAAAAACGGCGCGTCCGTGTTATGAGATCAATACGCATGCGCAGGTCTTTAGTTTTTATACTCACAATAAATTCAAAGACGAACATCAGTGTGTCCTTCGTGTGAATAATGTCATGTAATCTGACGATGTTGGCTTGCTTCAACTGCTTGAGTAAAGAAGCTGGAAAATAGGAAAACACTTGTGAGTTAACTAAGGAATAACCAGTCTTTGGCCAGAAGCAGTGTCATCAATGGAAGGCAAAAGATCGGACAAATACAATAAGAGAATAGTCAGAGAGACAGACAGACAGACAGACAGAATGATTTAAAATTAAAGTGTGGTTTTATATGTGATATCAGTTATCAAAGAAAAACAGGAATACAGACACAATATGCAAGATAGATTAAGAACCGCGTCCCAATATAAATCTGCTATTCCCGAAATAACCTAAAACTATTCAAAAATTTCAAAGATGATCCTTAACTTTAAGTTAGTATCTATGAATCAAGTACCCTCTCACCGACAGATATATTATTTAGAGTACCTGACCAATTGGGGAAAAACTGGAGTTTTCGTTCATTACGAGGGGGAGGGTGCGAGAATTCTTTGAGGTGATTTCTAGATCTAACGAATGGGGAAAATTTCGTAAATTTGTCGCAGTTCAACATTTTGCTGTATTCGTATGCGAGGCAATTTGGTCTGAATTTTTACAAAAACAATGGAAAGCCATTTTAGTGTACGTGCATGTACTTGTCATGCCAAAAACACACTTGACTTTATCGTTGTTTTCTTTACGTTATCAATGAGATGAGTAGGGAGCTTATATTCAGTACAGTAAACTGTACCGTGTACGTGCTGTAAGTACCGTAATGACTCAGTGAAAGAAAAAAACACGCTAAACTTTTATTCACATACAAGTTGTAAAATGATTCTCTCAAAAAAAGTGGGACACTATATTATTCGCTTACGGCAAGTCGTGCCATGTACTAAAGTCAGTGAATGTTGACCGACGTTCGTATTAAAGCCCCTTTATTAGTCGCAAGAGTAGTTTTGGTATGCGCAGAAAACATACGGTACTGACTTACAGCACTCGCACACGTTACGATATGCCGTATGATCGAAATGGCTTTCGATGAGAATGGTTTTCATGTGAGTAGGAAACATACGGTACTGACTAACAGTACGTAAACTGTACCGTACATGCATAGCATGCATAACATGCATTACATTGAGATTGCTTCCCATTGTCGTCCAATAATTCAACCAATCACAAGCGTAGTTACGGCTACGGCAATTAAATACGGCACGGCTACAGTACGATACAAATTTGCCGTATCATTTCCCACTCCTACGAGGACCGCTTTATATAAACTAACGATATTAACAGTTGGATAAGTCTTATATTACCTTCTCTGATTGCAGTAAAGGGCGCTCCTTCTTCTTCTTGAAGTCGAATCTCCTTCAAAGCCACGACTTTTCGATTGGCACTAAAAACAATAAATCAAGGTTATGACTGAAAAAATGAAGCACGAATCGCAGACCAACGCACACAGCAATCATTATAATTCTCATTCTCTATCAAGCGTTTTAAGTGACGACTTCCGGGTCCAAAACGAAAAGCAGTTCTATAACGATTTTCCCTAATTCATGTACGGGATTTGTTGTCCAAAGTTCATACTTGTTTCAGGTGGAGGTTAAATTAATGAGAGCTTTTTCGCTTTATTTTAGTGGTTTTTGTTAGATAATATTTCTACAACATGTCAAGCAGTTGGACCCGGAAATACGTCACAACGGAAATAAAGCATCACTCACGTGCAGATTCCCTTGAACACCGTTGCGTAGGAACCTTCACCAAGTGGCTCCAGCTTCTGGTATGACTCTAGACGTCCATAGGAAGGAGACAGAGGCTGGAAACAAAACAGTAAATTATTAGATCTAGTATGTCTTCGTAGGCAGGATTCTTCTATGTGTCTTCCACCTAATGTAGTATTTTGCAGTCGAGCTTTCGGACAAAGTGTCCATCTGTACAAAGCTCGACACAATGAATCATTATACATGTAGGTTGAAGACACATAATTTACAAATATAAGTTACTATAGTTGCAGAAAAAGTTGTATATAGATAAATAAAAAAAATGAAGATGAAAGACGCGACGTGGTGAAAGACGTTTTTTGACTGTTTTTTGTTGTTACAGTAGTTATTTTCTGTTTTCGTTAGTTAGTTTGTTCCTTCGTTTCTTTTTTTTTTTTTTTTTT